CATGCAAACGCCTAATGGTAACTCTAAACCATCAAATATAAATTAAGGCAATTGAAGAATGAAGTTACCTGGGTGTCGGTTTTCACTGGTAGACGCCGCAGATAAGGTTTTCCTCTACCGTAAATCTTCTTGTCTAGTCTTTTAATTATTTAGGGTAAATAATTATCAACTAATAATTAAATAATTACTAAACCCTCTAATTTATTCTTATTCATGGGCCATAATTTAATTAACTAAATTATGGACTTGGTCCATTAACTACCACAAATAAAAACAATGAAAACCACCCCACTAAATTTATAATAGTAGTTACGAATAGTCTAAAATACCCATTTAAAATCTATCGAAAAGTCTTTTACGAAATAAAAAGCTCTAGTACTCAAAACGAGCAAATGGATCGTTACATTAGATACCAATTTACCCATCGTTCGTCCTCGAACGATCAATAGAAGGTGAGGGTAAGAAAGAGTACCTGAATCAACAAAAAGATGTGGATATCTTTCTTGCATATCCACCTCACTCTCCCAAGTGGACTCTTCAACTGGCCGATTTTTCCACTGAACCTTGATAGATGCAATCTCCTTTGACCTCAACTTGCGGACCTCCCTATTTAGTATAGCTACAGGCTCCTCCTCATAAGACAGATTCTCATCAAGCAATACCGAATCCCAACGAATAATGTAGTTTCCATCATCATGGTATTTTTTCAGTATTACAAGAGTTTGTAGATAAATAGGAGCGAGAGAACACAGTTCCATGACAAACTGGAAAAAGAAAATCATGAGGTATATTACCTATATTTAAGAAATATGACCTTTGTTTCTAATGTGATTGAGTATTTGACATTTTAACTGGCTTCATTGGTCACGGAGTAATGTTGTTCACAATTTCCATAGCTGCTCGTACCTGTCATAACAAGATGCTCTGTTGGTTCATCATTATTTTCTCTCATTTGTAACAAGGCAACAGTTGCTGCCTATATGGAATTCACACTCCATCAAATGGATGTGCAAAGTGTCTTCCTGAATGGATTCTAAAGGAGGACGTATATGTCAAGCAGCCTCAAGGCTTTGCAAACACTGAATTTCAAAACCATGTTTCCAAACTTGACAAAGCACTGTAACATACAGCAAATCCCAAGAAGTTATCCATTCCCTGATGGTGGAACCAACTTGGGATCTTCTTCTCAGGATGCTCAATGATAAACACTCTTAGTAACAAGTTAAATGCGAAGGTTCAATTTAGGATAGAGGGATGAAGTGCCAAACTGATTCGTCCCACCTAAAGCTTTTAAAGTTATGTAATGTTTAAGAAACTTCTGGTTTTTCCAAAATGAAATGTATTTTGCAAGTAAAATGGTGAACATCAATTTCTGATGAAGAGCATACAAGAGTAGTTTCTTTCTGGTTGGATAGCCATCACAATAGTAAGCATCTGCGGCATTCAAGTTTAGTTCTATAAATTAAAATTCGAGTTAAGTTCTAGAAATGAAATTCAGATGCTCACTTCATCAACATCTTCAGAGTTCAGTCTCTTGCTCCTGCTTAGTTAACTGTGGCAACTGCCACATAAACTCCTCAGCAGTTGCACAGGCTTGAAAACCCCACTAAAATTTACTGCATGGAGGAAAAACTAGTTCTGTAACTAATACAGCACATAATTAAATGAAGAACTAAGAGAATGTTTCCCTTACTTGAGGAAGTAATATGATATATAAGCATCTACAGATTAGTTGAGAACTATTCCATTTTTTTTCCAAATGTAGGGGATTGATGCTCAAACATCACACAGCAAACCAAAGAGGTTTAGATATACATCCTTATCAAAGACTCCGATTGCGGATCACCCAATTTGAACAATGGAAATAGCAATTGAAGTATTCATCTGAAATGATACTTCAAAATGAATATGATAATTGATTCTAAGGAGAAATCCTAGTCCTTCATTCTCACTGAAAAAGGTGCGTGAACTAATTAAAGAAACAAAAAATACTTGATTTCAGAAAATCACTTTAGAGCCAATTGAATCGTAAAAAGAACCACAAATGAACAAGTCGAAAAAAAAAATTGAGTATAATATAGAACTTAAGAGAAATTTGTTTCCAATACTCTATGGAGTCGTTTGGTGTGAGGTATAAGGTATAATATTCTCGGGATAAATGCAGGATAATTTTATCATGTGTTTGGTTGGAGGTATTAGGTAGTCTTTGAATTATTTATCCCACCATTTATAATTATATACTATATTGATGGGATAAGTTATTCCATATACATAGTAGAATAACTTATCCCAGGATAATTATAACCAGGATAACTTGTTCCCAACCAAATGACCCTAAGGGTTATTTGGTATGAGGGATAAGTGATAAAAATACCAGGATAAAATGCAGGATTATTCTATTCACTTGTGAGCACATTTTAAGGTAAGAATTTATGAAGATTGAATGATTCCAGGATCTGATTTGAGTATCGAAAAAAAACTTGCTCACATCCTTTAACTCACCATGGTTAATCATGGCTTAACACAAGATGGAGAATCAATCAACAAAACTCACTGTTGAGACATACATCACCATTGATGAGCTCCTGTCAGTACGGGAAAGAATAAAGAAGAAAAAAGGAAAAGAAGTGAAAAAGTTATTAACAGAATTGGAAGAAGACTTTGTAGCTAATAGGAGAGAATTACATAAAAAGAGAGTTGAACAGAATTTCACTACCAACTAGGGGAAAAACAAATCATGAGGTATAATACCTATATTTAAGCCAAAATTCTGGGCTTGGGGGAGAGAGCTGCAAAGTTTCTGAAGAGACTGGTTGTTGCTGCAGATTCTCAAAGACAGCTCCAATGAATATTAGAAATAAGAGCTTTGTTTCTTAGAAGAGGAGCAACTGGCTTCATCATGGTGTCCCAATGCAATGTTCTGTTGGTTCATCTTTATACAACAAACGGAATCCAAACTCCTTCGTTTCTCCGGAGAACGATAATGTAATAAGCCCATAGTCATTTGGTGTTTTTCCATTTGCCTTAGATGTTTCCCATAAGCCAGCAAGAGATACCAAGAAAAAATGAATCGTAGGTTCAGTATCACATTCTGAATCGTCGGATGATTCTGTATCATAATATGGAAGGAAGGATAATTCTAGTTTCTGGGTCATCCCATCATCACATAAGGGAATCAAGTCAACTGTGGTGTCAACTAGGTTGCCAGAGTAACATACAACTAATCCCAAGAAGTTATCCGATACATACCAATTTTCAGGCAAATTGATCGATACACTTTCATCCTTTCCTTGATGGTGGAACCAACATGGGATCTTATTCTCATCATGCACAATGGTAAACACTCTTTGTGACAAGGAATCTGAAGCAGAGATGTCATTCAGCAAGGAAACGATGTCCTGAGACAAGGAACGTGGAAGTGAGATATACATGGAATTTAGATCCCTCATCACACTGTCTAACATGTGAATATCCGACTTCACATTCATGCTTCCAAGGATTTCCGGAAAATTTTCTAAACTAGAGCACCCCTCTAGATTCAGATATTCAAGGGAATCGATGCACAGAACTGGAAGCCTCTTGAGACATTTACAATTAGTCAACTTTAATGTACAGAGTTTTTTGAGACGTCCCAGGGAATGATGAACCTCTTCAAGATTTATACAATTTGACAGATTCAAAGTCGCCAAGTTTTGCATCCCTTCGAAACCTAGCAACTCTTTAAGCTTCTTGCAATCTGATAGGTCCAAAGACCGAAGAGCACCAAGTTGGGCTATGCTTTGAGGCAAATGCTCAAAATTATTTCCAGAGAGATATAACTCATTCAGAGAGGATAAGGATCCAATGTCTTCCGGAAGACCTATTAGATTGCAGTAACTGAGATTCAGAATCTCCAACAAGCGTAATCCGTCAGACACCGCAGGGAAAACAAAGTACACTCCATCTTTAAGGCCTACTTCTGATTTTTGTTTTGCGAACCGCAAGAATTGAAGCTTGTTCAAACAGACAATGGAAGGCGGAGGTTGCAAAATTAGAGTATTTTTGGCATCAAGCCACTCCAAGTTCTCTAAATCACCTATCTCTTTTGGTAAGCTTTCAAGTTTTGAGCATGCCGACACATTTAGCTCCACCAAATTTTTCAACTTACAAATACTGCTCGGAAGTGTTACAAGGTTTTCTAAACCTCTCAAGTCTAGGCACTTTAACCCACTCTTTAACTTCAAATCCATGCTTCCGAGGATTTCTGGAAACATTTCTAAACTAGAGCACCCCTCTAGATTCAGATATTCAAGGGAATTAATGCACAGAACTGGAAACCTCTTGAGCCTTTTACAATTAGTCAACTTTAATGTACATAGATTTTCGAGACATTTCAGGGAATGATGAACCTCTTCAAGATTCATACAATTTGACAGATTCAAAGTCGCCAAGTTTTGCATCCCTTCGAAACCTGGCAACTCTTTAAGCTTCTTGCAATCTGATAGGTCCAAAGACCGAAGAGCACCAAGTTGGGCTATGCTTTGAGGCAAATGCTCAAAATTATTTCCAGAGAGATATAACTCGTTCAGAGAGGATAAGGATCCAATGTCTTCCGGAAGACCTATTAGATTGCAGTAACTGAGATTCAGAATCTCCAACAAGTGTAATCCATCCGACACCACAGGGAAACTAAAGTACACTCCATCTACGAGACCTCCTCCAGAATTTTGTTTTGCAAAACTCAAAAATTTAAGCTTTTTCAACTGGACAATGGAAGATGGAGGTTGTGAAATTAGAGTACCTCTAGCATCAAGATTTTCCAAGTTTTCTAAATCTCCTATTTCTTCTGGAAAGCTTTTAAGCTTAGAGCAATCCGACACATTTAGGCTGACCAAACTTTTCAACTTACAAATGCTGCTCGGAAGTGTTGCAAGGTTTTCAAAACCTCTAAAACCTAGATCCCTTATTACACTGTCGAGCATGTGAATCTCTAACTCAGCTTTCATGTTTCCGAGGATTTCTGGAATTTTTTCTAAACTAGAGCAATCCCGTAGACACAGATAGACAAGAGAATCAATGCACAGAGCTGGAAACCTTTTAAGCTGTTTACAATTAGTCATTTTTAATGTACAGAGCTTTTTGAGAAGTCCCAGGGAACGATGAACCTCTTCAAGATTTATACAATTTGACAAATTCAAAGTCTCCAAGTTTTGCATTCCCATGATGCTTCTTGGCAACTCTTTAAGCCTCTCACAATATGACAAGTCCAAGGATCGAAGAGCACCAAGTTGTTCTATGCTTTGAGGCAAATGCTCAATGTTAATTATACTGAGATTCAGGGTCATCAAGTTTGGCATCCCCATGAAGTCTGGCAGCTGTGTAAGCCTCTTGCAATTTGATAAGTTCAAGGATCGAAGAGCACCAAGTTCGGATATGCTTTGAGGCAAATGATCAAAATTATTTCCCTGGAGATTCAAGTGTTCCAAAGAGGATAAGGATCCAATGTCTTCCGGAAGTCCTCCATCTTTTAAATTGCAGTAACTGAGATCCAGATCTTCTAATGAGTGTAACCCTTCATTCACTTGAGGGAACTCAAAGTACACTCCCCCTTCGAGACTTACGTTATATCTTTGTTTCGCAAAACTCATGAATGTAAGCTTGTTCAAGCAGACGATGGAAGACGGAGGTAGTGAAATTAGAGTCCCTGATGCGTCAATCTTCTCCAAGTTTACTAAATCGCCTAGATCTTTCGGCAAGCTTTCAAGTTTATAGCAATTCAACACATCAAGAATAACCAAACCTTCCAACATGCCAATGCTGCTCGGAAGAGCTACAAGATTATCCAAATGTCTCAGAGTTAGGCACTGAACAATATATGATGGCAGTTCCCTTTTCTCAGAGTCCCACATCTTAATCTGTAAGTTCTGCTTCGTTCTTCCACGGATTTCTGGAAATTTCTCTAAACGGGAGCAGAACTTTAGATCCAGATATTCAAGAGATTCCACGTTAACACATGGAAACCTCTTGAGGCGTCTACAATATATCAAATTCAACCTCTTGAGTTTTGTGCGACATCCCAGGGAATGGTGAACCTCTTCAAGATTAATACAATTGCCCAAATCCAAATACTCCAAATTTGACATCTCCGTGAAATCTGGTGTTTGCGCCAGGTCTCTAGAGCGGCTGAGATCTAGCGTCCGTAGATACTGAAAATGCTGGTATTCAGAACACAAAAAGGATGAGAAAGGAAAACAAGAACAGACAGGTAAAAGAATCTGTAAAAAAAAGATTGGCTAAGGTTTCAGTACGTTTATCCAAATTTAAAAAAAAAATAGCCAAGGAAGTAGAGTTCCAACAGTGTTTTCTTTTTATACTCTCTTTAGATGCAATGACTATTTATTTCAACATTGTATTTTTCTATAAAATAGTTGAACATAAGTTACCCTTCATGTCTGTCCCACTACATGCAATCTTAGGATGAGATTCATATCTTGCTAGGGAAATGTTTGAACCACTTAGCTTCTTATAAGTTAATATATGATAGGAAGATTTGGGAGAAAAACGACATAAAGATCTTCCAGTAATAGATATGAGAATAACCCAAAATCTATCTATCTATCTATCTATCTATATCTATACTACCTTAAAAGCATGAACTCCCTAACTTAATGTTAAATTACTATAATACTCCCAACTTAAAACACCCAATTTATTATATATTCTATATTTAATATTATATTTATATACACTATATTATATTAAATGCATACACCTTTTTACATTGATGGGTAATGACTTTTTCAAAAGGTTGTGACATTTTTTTATAGAGTTGTGACTTTTCGATGAGTTATGACATTTCCAAAAAGTTGTGATTTTTCTGAAGGGTTGTGACTTATCTAAAAAGACACGATATGCAAATTTTCATATTATCCTTTGTTGTCTATAAATAGAGGGGGTTTCTCACACTTTAAAACTACAAATTTTGTAAGTCTTCTATTCTTCTACTTAAAACAAGGAAGATTGTGAGAGTTGTTCAATTATGCAATTACAATATTTTTTTGTGGGTAAATTAGATAGATCAATAAAAATTGATGCAAAAAGGAGAATGAAATAACTCAACTTCAAACGAGAAAAGTATCGTAATAATTAATATGCACTCATTTTCATAGCCATAAAATATATTTTTGCAGAAACTCTTCCTTGACAAGAAGTTCAATGATTTTCCGTTGCACAAACTACAACTTGGTGTTTAGAATCTGAAAAGTCTCGAACTGTTGGAGAAAAAGTATTTGATCAAAAACTTGTTTGAAGAATCCTAACTACATTTAATAAGTACTCTTTCGTTTTCAATTTATTTGTTGTACTTTTATTTTTATTCAACTTCATATAGAATGTTCTTTTTTTATTGGGAGTGAGGACACATCTTTAAGACCACAGGGTTAGAAGACATTTTTATATATTCTACATATGATCCTTAAATTAAAAGTCTTCTTTATTTTTTAAAACTTCATATCAAATTAAAATTAGACCAATCCATATCTATCATTTTTTTAAGGGAAAAAGGTCAAATATACCCCCGAACTTTCAAAAATGGTATGTGTATATCCTTCGTTATACTTTTAGGCCATACATACCCTTACCGTCATAATTTTGGATCATATATACCCTTTGATCAAACGGAAAAACACGTGGCATGATCTCAAATATTTGCCCTATTTTATCTTATTTTATTTTTTCATCCAAAAATTTAATCTCTCTTTTCTTTCACTCTCCATGTTCATATTCTATTTCTCCCTCTCTCGGCGCCGGCGGCACCAGAAACGTCGATACTGTTTTTCCCTCTCTCATCGCCAGCGGCACCAGAAACGTTGATAATGTTTTTCCCTCTCTCATCGCCAGCGGCACCAAAAATGTCGATCCTGTTTTTCCCTCTCTCGTCGCCGGCGGCACCAAAAATGTCGATCCTGTTTTTCCCTCTCTCATCGCCGGCGGCACCAGAAACGTCATACTGATTTCCCTCTCTCGTCGCCAGCGGCACAAGAAACGTCGATGTATCGCCGGAAAATTCTCTCAATCTTCAACACATTCCACATTTTTATATATAATTTTAATTGATCCCTCATCCATAAGGAAAGAAAACTAAATTATCAGTTAGGGCTCGTATCTGTTTCTTAGCCAAAGATTGAACTTTTGATTGATTTTTTTCCTAATGTGTTTGAGATTTAGGTTTTATGATGTTATTTTGGAAAACACTTTCTGAAAGATCTAATTGTTTAAGTTTTTATTACATTTGTGAAGGATCAAATTCCGTCCTCTTTTCTCTTGGTGCTCAGATTTGAGCAGCTTGATCTGCTCACTTTTTTTGTTTTTGAATTGTGAGTGTCGAATTTTTCTCCAACGTATTTTGGTCTACAGAGCTTGAAATTGCAGATCTACAGAGCTTGAAATTGCAGATTTTCACCATTGATTGGAGATTTATGGGAGGGGAGTGATGAAAATCTAGAGAGCTTGAAAATTGATCATTGTTGAATTATTGGCATCAAAAGTTGAGAAGGATCTTGTCAATAATGATTAATATAATTGGAAATGGATGTTGATCAAGCTCTGGAGATGGGTGTTGGATCGTGTTGAAATTAGATGCATTGATAATGGAAATCAACAGAGATCAGCCAAAAGTAGAGTCGTCAATATGGGCTAGGCCCGTTGGGCAGGCCTGGCCTAATCCGTGATTTGATAGGGTTGGGCTACGATTTTTGGAGCCCATTTAAGAAAAAGGTTTTTTAGCCCGGCCTGAATAAGCCTGCCGATTTGTGGGGCTTGAGAAATATGGATAGGGTCGGCCCGTGGGCCAAATAAAAATTAATTAAAAAAAAAAAATAGAGTATCAAAAATAACAAGAGTCTAAACTCCAAATCAGTTTAAAGTTTGAAATATTACAATTTAAATACAAATTATGTTTATAAAATATGTATTACATAAAATAAAAATTTCCTAAAATTTCTAAGAATCACTATATAGGCCGTAGCCTATGGAATATTGTCATAGTTGTTGTGTTTTATTATGATCATTGGAAAACAATTAGATTAATATTTTTATTTAGCTATTTATGGTTTTACTTGAAATCAAACTTAATAAATATTATAAAGATAATTTTATTTGTGGATTTGATTAACAAGTAGTAACACAAACACCATGTAATATTATCTTGTCGATATTTATGATAATATTTTTAAATTATTATAAAAATATACTTTTACGAAAAGAGGGCTGACCCGGCAAGCCCGTAGCCCACGTACTTGTGGGCTGGGCCGACCATTTTCCGGCCCACACCAAAAATGGGCTATCCCGGCCTGACCCGTCAAATTTCAAAGCCTGTATGGGTTAGCCCGGATGGGGTGGGCCAGCCCATATTGACAGCTCTAGCCAAAAGTCAATAAATGGATTTAAAAAAAATAATTGGATAAAAAATAAATTTTAGATAAAAAAATAAAATAAAATAAGGCAAATATTTGAGAACATGGCATGTGTTTTTCCGTTTGATAAAAGGGTATATATGATCCAAAATTATGACGGTAAGAGTATAAATGGCCCAAAAGTATAACGGAGGATATATACATACCATTTTTGAAAGTTCGGGGGTATATTTGACCTTTTCCCTTTTTTAAAAATCTATACTACCTTAAAAGAATGAACTAATAACTTAAATGGTAAATTATTATAATACCCCCAACTTAAAACACCAAATGTAGTATATCTTCTATATTTTATATTGTATTATATTTATTTGTGTATATTATATTATATTATATTATATTATATTATAGTCAGACAACTTTACACATTGAAGGGTTGTGACATTTTCGAAGAGTTATAACATTTCTAATGAGTTGTGACTTTTCTGAAGGATTGCGACTTTTTCGAAGATTTATGACTTTTCCGATGAGTTTTTGACCTTTCTAAAGGGTTGTGACTTTTCTAAAGGGTTGTTACTTCTTTTTGATAAGGCACCATGAGCAGTTTTTCATACACTATCCTTTGTTGGCCGTAAAAAAAAGGGGCTTCATCACTTCTATATTTTTATGATAAGAAACAATATGCACATACTACTACCACACATTTTCAACTATAAATGGACGGGTTTCCTCACATTTTCAAACTACGGTTTTTTATGTTTTCTATTCTATTCTTCTCTTCTTAAAACCTCAAGTTTGATTTACAAACGTTGACAATCTCAAAGTTCAGTGAAACTAGAACACTCCATAACATGAATGTTAAATTAATCTAATACTCCAGCTAAACATCCAATTTAGTATATCTTCTATATTTGATATCAATATTTATTTATATTTTATTATATTAAAAGTAAGAACACCTACAAAACAATAATAACAAAGTAATGCACTATGGGGAAGGGAGTAGAAAGTTTATTTAAGAGGTGTAACTAAGAGATTTTAAGAGTGACTAATTTTTTATTTAGCAATATTCATATTATTTTTAAAAATAGTGTGGTACATGGTTTGATTTTCACATGCAACGCACGTGCGTCAAAACTAGTTATATAAAATATATTAATTTGAGTTTATGTCATTTAAAGACACGCATCATAATTTCAGAACAAGCCAAAATAATAAGTATATCAAATAAAACAGGCTGAAAGAAATAGTATCTGTGCATCACTGAAGGACAAAGATAGTTAGAGAGAAAATAAAAATAAACAAGAATTTAATTATTGTACCTTTATTCCCGTCCATAAATAACGCAGTGAACTGAAGCGGAGTTGAAGATGAACAAGCCTTTTGGGTTCAAAATTTTCTGGCAATGACTCCCAAGGAAAGTGATTCCAGACAAACCAACGCAAGCTGTTGGGCAGGTACTCAATGGAGCCATCATGGCAAGGGGAGCAATCTTGGGACCATATGTATAATATCCTAAGTATTTTCATATTTTTCATGGCCTCTTTGCTAAAGCATATTTTCCCATCATAATGAAACCAGATTGCTTCCATTTCCTTGGTCCCCTGGTAAAAATGATCATTTCTTTACAAAAGTATAACTTCAAATGTCGTATAAAATTCAATTGCCAATATGATTACTTCCTCAATCCTCCCAGTGCCAAATTAGCGTACAATATTTGTTAGGTCTTTTAAATGAAATATGTTGCTTAAGAGAAGTATACTTTGTGCAATTAGTTCAACAGTTCTATATTCTATGGAGTTGCACATTTTCTGAGAAGTGCTTTAGAGTCAAGTCTGAGAGTTTTTTCATGCAGTGACAGAATAAAATTGTAAAGTAGTAGTGCCAATAACTTGTAATTTCAACCTGATTGAGTTAGTATATATAAAATCTCAAACAAAATTCAAGTTAGTTCAAAAAAAGAAGTTGGCTTAAACAGAGTAAGTGGCTACTAGACTAAGGGTGTGTTTGTTTGGTATGGAGGAAAACATATGCTTTCCAATTTTCTCATATTTGGTTGGGTAAAATATTTTTCAAATCAACTTATTTTCTTCAAATTCAAGGAAAATGACTTCCCTTCAAAAATTAAGGAAAACATTTTCCAAAACTTTCCTCCAACTTCAAATTACAATTTTTTTTGTTGAAAAAATAAATTTAAAGCTCATTTTTAAAAAATATTTTTGAACTTCAATTTTTTTATTTTTTTACCCCACCCTCACCTCGTCCCCCCTCCCGCCAGCCCCCTACCCCTCCCCCCAAAAAAAATAAAAAAATTAAAGTTTGTTTTTAAAAAATATTTTCAATTTCAAATTTTTATTTTCACCCCACCCCACCCCCTACACTCTCCCTCGCCAGCCCCACTACCAGCCCCCCACCCCCCAAAAAATTAAAGTTTGTTTTTAAAAAATATTTCAAATTTTTATTTTTTCACTCCCACCCCCACCCCCACCCGTGACCCCCCCCATCAGCCCCCAACCCCTCTCCAAAAAAAATTTAAATTTGTTTTTAAAAAATATTTTTTAATTTCAAATTTTTATTTGTTTTACCCCATCTCACCCCCCCCCCACCACCACCACCACCCCAACCTTCCCAAAAAAAAAAATTAAGTTTATTTTTAAAAAATATTTTCAATTTCAATTCAAAAATTATTTTCTACTCTCTAGTAAAAATAAAAGATATTTTCTCCAAAATAATTTTCATTAATAAATCAAACACTAAAAAATCTTTTCCGAAAAATACTTTCTACTCACCAACAAAACATGAGAAAATAAGTCAAAAATTTATTGTTTTCCAGGAAAACATTTTCCTTCATACCAAACACACCCTAAATCATGGCTTAGTAACATAAGAAAAAACAAATTAGGCAGTGGTAATTAAAGTGGCTACTTGACGAACTAGGCAGTGTTAGACAGTTAATGTTACTTGCTTGTACTACTAAAGTAAGAAACTGATGTGACTCAAGTGCGGAAATATGAAGTAAGAAGAACAAATAATGGAATTGACCCTATGTCTTTGGAATATGAAAACTAGAAATTGAATATTATTGTATTGTTTAGTCTACTTACTTTATTGTTGTCCATCATTTCTTTAAAATCTTCATAGTCCCATATTCTGCTACATTTGCCCGCATCCTTCTGAATTTTCACAATATATTTACCCATATCTTGTATTAAGTCATGCATTTCAATTGTATCATCTTCAGTTAAGAACACGAGAGATTTTTCAATTAGGACATCCAATCCATACTCAGCTCCAAAATCACAGCTCTTAAGGATTTGCATGACTTTCTTTTTTTCATCTCCTCGGAAAAAACAAGCTATATCTAGAAATATTTGTTGTTCTATGGGCTCCAACCCATCATAACAAATTTTGAGTTTTTCAACAATTTCTGAGCTAGAGTTTTCCTTTATTTTGTCAACAGTTCTTCTCCACTGAGTTAGGCCTTTCCTATGCAACAAAGAACCCCACACCTTGAGGGCATCAAAACAAATTTTGAGTTTTTCAACAATTTCTGAGCTAGAGTTTTCCTTTATTTTGTCAACAGTTCTTCTCCACTGAGTTAGGCCTTCCCTAGGCAACAAAGGACCCCGCACCTTGAAGGTTGTTAAAGGAAAAGGAAAGCCTTTAGCATGATGTACTACCTCCAACGAGAAATTCTTAAAACGCTCATCTGGAACTTCTTTTCTGAAAGCATACTGATTGAACAGTCGCAAATCTTCAAGATTACGTAGTGTAGGCACTTCATTTATTGCAGCAGCATCCTTCCCTATCAAATCTCTATTTCTAGTTGTTACAACAACTCTGCTACCATCACCAAACCAACCAACATCACCTGCTAAATACTCCAAATGATCTCTTTCATCAATGTCATCAAGCACAATTAGCACCTTCATAGAAGAAAGTCTGCTCGGAATCATGCACTTCCCCTCTTTCTTATTGTTGACGTAATCATCTGTCTCTCCTAACAGTTCAGAGAGAAGAGTATTTTGTAAATAATGCAGTTGATTCTTTTTGGCATTTTCTTTAACATCCTCGAGAAAACAAGCAGCTTTAAATTGAGATGAGAATGTATCAAAAACAGCTCTTGCTATTGTCGTTTTGCCGACTCCCCCCATTCCCCAGATCCCCACAATCCGAACATCATTACTTTCCATCTCTAGCAGTGATTTTACATTCTCCAGATGAGTATCTATTCCAATAATATCTTGCAAACAAGATCTTAAAGAAGCGTTGCAAAATAAGGATGAAATTTTATTAACAATATCCGGAATATATTTTGATTCAATCCTATAAAAAAGTAAGAAGAAGATTGTTGATATATATACAGTTCAAAAATTCGACAAGAGAAGTACTTCACATTGTAGAGTTAGAGTTCTGCATAATTATGAATAAAGGGACAAAGCATATAAATTTAACTCACTCATCACGGATATAATATCCTACTATATTTGCAGCAGCAGTTAAAGCAGATCTCCATCCTTTCACCTTCTGCATTCCTTCAATATCATTATTATACATCTTTTCGTGTTCGGCAAAGGCTTCTGCAAAGCTCCCCGTTTGATTCCGAACATCTGATGGTTCCACATCATAGAAGACTGGCATGACTAATTGTCCATTTTTTTCCGTGCATTCCATGATCTTCACTAATTCATTCAAACACCACCTCGTAGCATAATTTTTTGAGAAAATGATTACAGCAACTCGAGACTCTTCTATAGCTTTCACTAGTTCTTTCGACAGGGAATCACCATTCTCTAGCCTGTTATCATCTAGAAACGTGAGTATTCCCTTGTTTTTTAAACCTTGGTACAAGTAACTTGTGAAATTTCTGAGAGTATCTTCGCCTCGAAAACTTAGAAAGACATCGTACTTCGATCCAGTCAACTGCGACGATCTAGCAGCAGCAGAAGAAGATGAAGAAGATGCCATGGATTCAGTTAATTAGTCGAAGAATAGAATCAATAGATTATGGTTGTGGTAAAGAGATCAATTGATGCTTCAATGGCTTATACTCCAGTCAACTATACTTATCTATAACATGTGGTAGGAAATTTCCCTGAAGTTCTAATAAAAAGAACACCACTGTGAGCTAAAAGTACAAGCACATTAAGCTACAAATTAGGAAGTTGGGGAGAAAGAAGAAATTCCCTTTCATTTTAGCTAGTGTTTGGTCCTAAGTTTCCAAATATTCTTGGCAAATACTCGCTATATCCGTAATTACTTGTCCACTTTTTTTTAGTTGTTACTTGTTCATTTTGATAATTAAGAAAAAACAATTTATTTTACCTATTATAACCTCAATTAATTATTTTGAAAAAATTTGAACTTCTTGAAAATCTTATAAATTTGTTTAATTCATCCACTTCATAATTAATAGGGGTAAAATAGTAAACTCAATATGTCAATTATTATTTTCTTAATAGGTGTGATAATTCAAAAGTGAACAAGTAATTAGGGACAGGGGGAGTAATATTTAGGCCAAGTTTTTGGTGAAATTACATCATGTGTTTGGCCCCAAGTTTCCCAAGAATATTTGACTATTTCAATAAAAATATGATTATTCCTAAGTTCTAAAAACTATTAAAAATACTCATAAATTTGTATTATCTATTTATAGTGAATATGTTCCTTTAAAAATAATAATCTTATAACATAACTGATAACAATCAACAACAAAAAAATAACAATATATGCAAAAGCAATACATTAATCGTATAGGCTCTCTTTCACTTTTCCTATAGTCCTACAAATGATATCGCATTTCATTGTTATTTAATAAACAGAGATGATTAATATGGTTGGTGAGCATGTTGTTTGATAGATAGAGTAGTAACCTGGTTATTTATTATTAGTAGTAGATAGATATGGTAGATAAATATTATGGGTATTTTTTATAATATATAAAAGTTTGAGGTAATTTTTAAATTTTTTAAAATTCTCAAATACTAGAACTTGGCCCAAAAACTAATTTTTTTCAAGTATTTGGAAACTTGGGATTCTTGGCAAATATATTTGCCAAGTTATATAGCCAAACACCACTGGCCAAGTTTTTATTTGGGGTCAAATGGGTCCTTAATCTCTCTTTTAATAAGAGCTGTGAATCGGTCGGTTCGGTTCGATTTGATTTGGTATGAAGTTTATTGATTTGACTTATGGATTATCAATTTGTAAATATGTAAAATCGTTATAGAACCGTTAAGATATTGATTTATAAGTTATTTATTTTTCAGTTATTAATTATTTCGATTTAACAACTAAGATTTGGCACAAAAAATAATGAGAATCACTTAAAAACAAGTTGACAAACCAAATGAATTATGAACATGAGTTGACATAATGCATCTTGCTAAAAAACAAACACCGTCACATTGTAGAATAACTAAGAGTTTGAGACAACCAGAAATAAAAGTATGAAACTTCTTCTATACCAAATGAATAAATATAATTATTTAATTTACTACTGCGTTATCGATTAATCCATTAAGAAAAAACCTCAAATCGTTAAGAATTGACAACCCGATAATTAAAAAAAAATCAAAATCGTTAAGGAAACCACTAAACCAATAATTTTCTTCGATTCGGATTATCAATTTTGAACATCACTACTTTTAGGGGTTGTTTGGTGTGAAGACAAGTTATAATGCGATGAGATTAGTTATTTTGATATTAATTTTTAGTGAAGATTTTGTGTGTTGTATTAAAAATAATATGCACCACATAATTTATAAGTATAAGTCGTTATTCCATAAGTCTAAATGATGTGAAAAGTGATGTTTAAAAAGAATTTGAGGAAGTATTTTTGTTATTTTAACTAGTTTATCTTGGATAAATTACCGCAAAATTATTATTCCATCCACATCCAAAGACAGACACAACTTATCGCTAATTATTAGTTCTAGGATAAGTTATTCCAAACTTTGTAAACAAGCAAAGAATTGAAAGTTACTAAAATTGAACTTAACATTATCTTCATTTATTCATCACACCAAACGCGTCCTTAAGGTTTTAGGCTTTTAACATGTTTTATCAGTTAAAAATTTAAAACGTATCTAAATTATCATACTATATTTTTTTGGGTATTATACATTAGTTATCTATTTTTAAATTTTTTATCTAAATTATCATTCTCTATATAATAAAACACATTTTGATTTTGAATTATCCAAATATTTAAGAGTCCACAGCCAAAAGGGCAAAAAAAAATTGTCAAAAATTTCAAAAGGGCACATCAAATTTTTTCAAAACCAAAAGGGCAAAATCGGTCTTGACGAAGCGATTTTCCTCTGACAAAATGATGAAAAATCGCTGCCCTAGCAACGATTTCGTCTAAAAACTTTTTTTCCTTTTTTTTTTAATTAAAAATCGTTGCTAGGGCAGCAATTTTGTATTTTTTATTATTATTAAAAATCGCTGCCCTAAAAAAAATTAATTAAAAATTGTTGTTGTGGCAGCGATTTTGTAAAATAAAAAAATTTAATTAAAAATCGTTGTTGTCAGTTTTTTTTTTCTTACACATTGCTGCAGAGACAGCGTTTTTCATGTCTAATGCTATTATTTTCATGCCTATTGTTAATTATTAATAATATAAAAATGATAAACAAGACGACAATATACTCAATAAAATCGTTGAAGCATGAAGAAAGCTGAATTCTATATCATAAATAATAATAAAAGAATCTTAAAAAAAAAATAAAAAAAAATAAAAAAAATTCTTAACCAAAATCGGAAAAAAAGTTTTCTTTTTTTGAGAAAATCGTTGCTAAGGCAGCGATTTTTTATTTTTGTTTTGTCAGAAGAAAATCGCTCCTGACGGAGCGATTTTGCCCTTTTGATTTTTTTTTTTTTTGATGTGCCGTTTTAATTTTTTTAAAGAAAAAAGTTGTCATTTTAGCTCCGGACTCAAATATTTAAACTCAATCGACAATAAGTGCGTAGAGGCTTAAAGAAGTCATATAAATCGATTCATGCAACATCTAATTTAAGAAGAAATTCCTTTTTCTATTTTCCTTTAAATTCTTCTCTTCTTCCCTTTTTTTTATCCATCACTTTTGCATTATTTCTAATATTTTCTTCCCCTTTCTACTTCTTCATTTCTTAGATTTTCTTCCTCTTTCTTCTTCTTCATTTCTCTATGAAGCATAAAATGTCATCCAAATCTAAAGTTTATTAATGAATCCTGATTTTCTTACCAAATTCAAAAACTAAATGATAAATTCAGGATTTGAAAGTTAGTGAGGGAAATAATAATAATAATAATAATAATAATAATATAAAAGGGAAAAAAGAGAGTTGGAACATGAAACTAAAGTGATAATTACAATTAATTTTATTGTAGAGGCATAGGAGGCAGGGTAGGTTAGCTTAAAATGTGTATCTTATTATTGTGATATCGACTTATTTTATATTATATTTATGTCACTTAGCAATTAAAAAAATCGTATACTTCTAATCAAACGACCATTTGTTGGAGCTAATTTAGAGTGGGTTAGTTTCTTAAACGTAAGATTTTTTTTAATAATTTTTTTTTTCATATATCTTATTTCAAAATTATTATCACCTTCTTAATCACTCAATATTCCGAACTCTCATTACTTGACCATATCAAATGAAGTGGAAATATCTCTTGAGATTTTAATATGGTGGGTGTAGGGTTTTGACAGACATTACTAGCTAGTTAGATTTTGGATGTTTACGTAATGGTATTTAACACTCTCTCCGTTTTAATGTAATAAGTTAGAATGAATCGAGAGTCTATTGAATTTGATCTAACTTCAATAACAATAATAATGCAATAACAATAAATCCAATAAATCTTAAAAGTCGAGTAAACTTCAATAACAAAAAAAAAATCAGTATAATCTCAAAAATAGAATTTGAAAAAGATAAAATATACGAGATTTTATCACTATCTCAAGAAAATAATAAAAATTGTTTTCGATAATCCTCGACTCGAGTAAATTCTTCAAATTCTAAATTCTTTTCTAATAGTAAATAAATTTCCCATGAAAAGTTCTGACCCATAGTCCCCTACACCTCGAAGAAAGTTAACATTAGTTACATCCTACGAGAAAAAAGGAAATTTTTTTTTGCAGTTACATATGTAATTGTCTTAAAATATTTTATTTAAAAGATTAAATAAATATGACCGTTGGGAACCAGCTGTATATTTTAATATTAATTTATTTTTTCTACAAAGTACAATTTTTATTTTACTTTGCACTGTCTATGTCTGTTTTTTGGTCTTAAAGAAGTCTGATGTACTAGAGCATTTACATGTAAAAAAAATGCATTAATAAACACGAACAAACAAACATGCACAACATGATAAATTTACTAGCTAGTTGTAACGGCTACCTATACAAAGTGTTTTTGTTTGTTTCTATGCAAACATTTTTTTATTCATCTGAGATCGTTCGATAGCTGATTTGGAGATGAGTTATGTAAATATTAAAATTTGTATAAGTAATATCACGTTTAGTAGTTTTGTTAGAAGATAAACTCTTTATGTATAAAATTAAGGGAAAATGCTCAAATATACCATTGAACATTGAGAAATGTTCAAATATTTCATCTGTTAAAAGTTTGGCTCATCAATGCTATTTTTGTTTGAGAAAAAGGCTTATCCATGTCATAATTTGTTAACTAAAATAACATAAATGAACAAAACTTTTAACGAATGACATATGAGCCTTTTCTCAATGTTCGATGACATATATAAACATTTTCCCTTTTTAAAAATGATATAGTTAATGACGTGGTCTAATCATAATTGATCATGTGTTAAAAATGATTTTGCACAATCAAAAATATTTTTAGTTAATAAATAATGATATGGATGAGTCTTTTCTCAAACGACAATGACATAGATAAACCAAATTTTTAACGAATAGGATAAACAAGTTTTTTCTCAAAGTTTAATGACATATATT